CTCACCTCCATAGGAGTTGCCATTATGATAAGCAAACAATTCCAGGAAATTGCATTTGAAAAATATCCCACTACAAAGTCAATGATAACTAATGCTGTATGTTTTGTTATCACTTATTAAAAAAAAAAAAAGTTCACATGGCTTACAATTTCCAAAAGTAGATATTAATAAACTTATTGCTTATTCATACTCTACCAATCATACTCTTTACAAACAACCAAAGTTTTTGCCTCAAAATACTTTTTATTTCATGTTTACATTGAAGTGGTTGCCATATATACAAAAGTGGGACCCAGCGAGTGTACTGAATCATAATTCAAGAACTGTACATGTAAATATATATGTACAATGTATATGTATGTATATAATGTGTGTGTGTGTGTGTCTGTATGTGTACATACATACATACATACATATATAATATATAAATATATATATATATATATATATATATATATATATATATATATATATATATATATATATATATAATATATATATATATATATATATATATATATATTTACTGCCCAGGGGCTTCTCTGACCTGAGAAATTGGCTGTAGTGGAGGCAGGGGAGCAGGTGTGGCTGGGGTGGCCTCCTGGGGCATAACCACCTGGAGGGCCTCCAGGAGGTTCCAGTTGGCTGCCTCCAGGTGCATGAAGGCCTCGCCAACATCGTCGATTCCTGAGCACGCCTGTGGAAGGGTTAATGGTTAATGATTTAGACAAATAAATGTGCTAGACATCAAGGATCACACAGCACTATGGTGAAGGACTGTGGTGAAAGGGTTTTAAAGGATTTCTTTATTAGAACAAAATGTGTTAAATTTCAATAGTCATATAGCATTATAAGATAATATGGTGGTGAAAGGGGAAAAAAGAGGGGGAGTAAATAGAGTAGGATAAGAATTGATAGAAGGGGAAAGGGTTAAGGACAAAGGGTGATTAGATCAAATGGAGGGTATTTATGCATCTGAAGAAGGAGAAAAAGTTGCCAAGCAAAAAGGTGGGGGATTCATGTAGGATGTCCGACAGGCTGGGGGGTTGGGGAAGAGAGGACAAGTGGGAAAAGCGAGGGCATGGACCATTGATCTTGTATCTTACGGACTAAAGGGTTGATAGGGTGTATGGACTGTATGAGGAATATTGAGTTGCATGAGTCGGTAAAGATGGTGAGGGGAGAGGAAGAGATGGAAGATATGTATTGCATAATGAAGAGGATAGCATATAACTCTGTTGTAAGGCTGCCCGATGGGAGAGGAGTGAGGGTTTGAGTGAAATAGTGTGGTTTGATGAACAATCACAGAAGTAATATGAATTTAATTTAGTTATAGTCTATTCTGTTACAAGTTTTTACTTTTGCTTTCAAATATCTTAATCTTTTTTAGTTTACATTAAATGCATTCTTTTTTCCTTATTAAATTCATTATTGTCTTTTCTTTAGTAGTGATAATAGTGATAATATATCAAATTATGATGTGCAAAACTAGTTATCAAAGAAATTAGAAAGATGAAATTAAAATCATATTATTTAATATGAATATTTGAAAAACTATTACATGCAGTCCCCCTCCCCCCCAACCAAAAAAATTAACAGCATGACATTTGTTACTTTTGGGCTGAATAAGTAGCTCCAATATATATCTGCCTTTTCAACTATGTATACATATATAAATGCTGGAGTAAAGAATACTGTGAACAAATTTATTGTATGATAAACAAACTAACATCACAAAAAAATAGCAATCACAAACAATAATACATATATAATTAACCTCTACCCATATGTCATCAATTGCTAGAAATTTAATTTTACTCTTTTTATGGAATAAATGTAGATCCCAGAGTTGTTATTTTTCTTTTGTCAATTGCTGGTTACTACAAAGAGGTAGCATTCTCTGGCAGATCAGTGACAACTTTGACATAACCATATGAACACACCAAGCATGTACACATCTAGACATACCAGACAAACAAACAAACACAGAAAACTAATGTTACTGAAAAAACGAAGAATAGCAGACATATATCTTTCTAACCTTTGTTGTAGCAAATTTTTGTTAGACTGAACAAACTTAGCAGCTTCTATTGATCAGAGAGCAGCTTGGATGTTATGGAACATGACCCTCACCGACTTTCATCCAGACATTCCTATATCTATGACTCACTGAAGGTCCTCCTTACCAACTATGCATGAAGTATATTTCAAATCTTTTAGCCACAGAAAATGCAAAACCTAATATAATGAAACAAATGTACGTCTTCACCCTAAAACACCTAATGCATCCTGGTTTTGCGATAGTTTTGGGTATGCACTTTCTTGTTTTTCGTATTGGTTCTGATGTCTTATAGTATTACTTATACTATTACATTCAAAACAAATGACAACTTTAAGATTATTTGGAAAATGAAGACTTAACATGCATCTACTACTCAATATTAATCAATCAGTATTTGCCCAAACAGAACTGTGCACATACAGAAAAAATACTGCCTTAAAAAGGTATTAAAAATATAATTATTGTTTTCAATTTTAATCCAGAGTGAAGGATAATGATACTATCAGATAAAAGGGTACCAGCTGAGAGCAAGTGAACACTCATACAAAATAATACTATATACCTTTTGGTATATGGTATGATATTACTGGAAAATTATGTATCGTGCAGCTAAATGCATAGATATTCGGGTGAGCATGTATTCCCAATGCTGCAAATCTTTCACTAGAGCAGTTGAATTCACATGCAGCCTGGCCCTTGGTTCAGTGTGGCACAAGAAAAAACCTTCACCACTGTGTTTCAGATTAAAATGAAATACTTGCATCAGTTCCTTCCACCGTCAACCCTCACAAAAAAAACAATGGACAAACACGATTCTCTTTTAACCTGAAGGCTTATGCATTTGTTTGAGAAACAGGTATCAAATTGAAAAAAAAAAAAAAAAAAAAAAAAAAAAAAAAAAAAAAAAAAAAAAAAAAAAAAAAAAAAAATCTAGAACATTCAAAATGTCTGCAAACAAACAACTTGGCAACGACTTCCCACGAATAGATGTTTTCCTGTTACCCCCTTATTTTTTTTTTTTTTTAATTTTTTTTTTTTTTTTTGCAATCACAGGACATTCTGGTCACCCAACCCTCAGCTAATTTTTATGTTTATAATGACAAATTATCCATGTCACCTAGATAAAATGGGTTCAAGGAAAAGTAGTCTAATTCTGGATATTCACTGATTCATCTAATGTACACGGTTTCTGTTACTGGATCAGTAATATGCCTGAACACCACAAGCAAAATGGAAATAAATAAAAAATACTTCCTTTCCATCATTTGATACTTGCAGTCTGCTTAAGATATGTGTTGGTGAATGACTTATGGTTCCATATATTGTGATTTAATTCTTCATTCAAACTCGTAGCTAAAAATTAAACAAATACACACTCTACAAAATCTAAAGGAAAGAAGCTAAATTGAGTTTACGTTACATCAAAAGTGATGCTTACAATCCCTTAAATAATATAATCTTAAAATCTTTATGAAATATAACCCTTGTTTATATATGATACCTAACATATTTATATATTATATATGTATAAATATTTTAGACACACATAAATATGTAAATATATATATATACATAAATAAACAAATAAATAAATATACATACATGCCGTCTTTAGGTACATTTCTCATAACCATTTTACATAAACTTTATTCTCATTTTCAAGCAATACTCTACAATAAACTTTCATCAGTACTTGTCTTCAAACACTAAACTATTGAAATAGATGGAGCAACAGTGAATATAATGGTCTGCAGAAGTGTGTGGCAAAACACTCTAATAAAATCTCCAGATCCTCGTGTGTAACATGCTATGGTGATTCTTTGCATTTTGTGTCATGACACCGACCCTTTTTGTGGAAAAAGGCTTTGAAATAAATTGAGTCTCCCAATGCAAAATTCCATGACTTTTCCAGGATTTCTTTTCTTAAATTGAGTTTTCGTTTTCCAACCCGGGAAAATGAAAATGCTGGAATTTCCGGTTTTCCAGGAATTCCAGGTGGCAGACGGACCCTGTTTTTATATATAGAATAGAACTATATACATATATATATTTATTTATTTAAATATCATATTCTAAAGTTATATATCTACATCTATATCTATATAAATGTACGTATGTATATAATTATATAGAATCACAGAATTTATCCCTTTCCTAGCCTAGTCTTCATGTGAAATCTAATGACTACTTTTTTTTTTTTCCCCAACTTAATATACCAAATCAAAACCACTGCCTTTTCCTCCTCATTCTGTACAAAAAATAAACCATCAAGCTGACAAAGCAACCAGCAGTATTCAAGCATTTTCAAGAATAAAAACTTCCCTTTGATCAATAACAAAGAGAAACAAAACCATGACATCACTTTCCACAGAGAAAATTCAGAATCATGCTTACAGATAAACAAGCTCAATTTAATAACCCAACACAAAAAAATATGCTTGTACACCATAGATAATTAAATGACACGTGAATAATTAATAAAATGCCTTCAAATATCGCGAGGTTGGAGCAGAGAGAAACAAGATAAACAAATACATAATGTTATTCGAAATTATCCCCCTTTTTGTTTACTATATTATGTGTGTAATATATCGACTGTCGTCATGGCCATCGTGAGTCTAAATTTCACCACAAAACGACAAAAAACAACCAATTTTATCCCTACTTAAGTCCAACAAATAAACCAAAACAAAAACCTAAAAAAAAATCCCTTCAACAAACAATTCCGACCCAAGAAAAACCCTTAAAAATGCGTTTCATATCATAATGCGTCTGTGAATGATCAATAAAAATAAACCCATGATCCATTCTCTTCATAGATATCTTGGTGTGAGAGGTCTGTATCCCCATTTTACCTGGAAATTGGCAAGGATTTCATCTCTGTTGGCCATTGTTTGTCTCCTTTGTCGCGTGTGACCGGAGCCTCGAGACTGAGAGA